GGATATGCCGACGCCTAACACGCGTCGCCGGTTTAGTATTTCGCCGTAGAAAAAGACACCAGAAGACCAATCTGGGGTATTTTATCCCGAAACCTAAGTAGAGATAAAGTCAACACCTAACACGTGTTGCCGGGTAGCCTATTCCCGTAACAATGGCAAAGCCTATGTATTCAACATCATAGCACAAAGCCTAAGAGAATTCACTCTCTTAGCACAACGTTACATGCGAACGGAGTTAGACAATCCGCATGCTAGCCCGACTCAAACGGTAGTCGGTAAAGGCTAATCAAACCCGTTGAAGGCTGGGGGTTAGCCAAAAATCCTAAAGTCAACATCTAACACGTGTCGCCGGGTAACCTATTCCCGTAACAATGGTGAAGTCTATGTATTCGACATCATAGCACAAAGTCTAAGGGAGTTTATTCCTTTAGCACAACGTTACATGCGGAACGGATTCCGACAATCCGCATGCTAGCCCGACTCAAACGGTAGTCGGTAAAGGCCAATCAAACCCGTTGAAGGCTGAGGGTTTGCCAAAAATCCTATGAGTATTATGGTCAATCATTTCAAACGGAATCAAACGGTAGTCGGTAAAGGCTAATCAAACCCGTTGAAGGCTGGGGGTTTGCCAAAAATTCCATGAGTATTATGGTCAATCATTTCAAACGAAGTGAGGAATCATAATAAAGATAAAGATAAATCAGTTCCATTAAAGAGAATCAAATGTCAAGGTTTTCAGCAAATAAAATCATACATCAAGCCCATGGCTAAGAACCTGCTGACTGAATTCAGACAGCTTCTCATCATAAGAGCGTCTAAGCTCCTCCTGCAACTCAGCTCTGACAGACTCTTCGTTCGCGGCTAAAGTCCTCACAGCATCCTCCTCTGTCTCAGCCAGTGTCTGCTTCAAGGACTTCAGCTCATCAGATAAAGCAGCATGTGCTTGCTGAACGTGCATCTTCGCGTCCTCCTTCTCACGGAGTTCTCGCCGGAGCTGATCTATCTGAGAATCAAGCTCATCAAGTGAAGATGATCTAGTGGCAAGGTCAGCCTCAACTCGATCTATTCGGCCCCGCTGCACCTGGACCTCGAGCTCAGCAACCATCCGAGTACTACGCCATGTCTGTAAACGAGCATCCAACTCGGCAGCAATGAATGAAGAGGCACCTGCATCCCGGAGCTCATGAAGCATCTGAAACTCATGCTCTAAGCGATCAAGGTCATCAACCATAGCCGTCGCCAGATCCGGACATCCTATGTCCCTAATCAAATTTATCTTGGAATCGAGGTAGGGCTTAAATTGGCGAAGAGAAAGTCCGTCGTGGAGGAGTTTGCCAATTATAGCAGTCAGGGAGGAGAAATAAGAGCGGACTTCTACGCTGATGATGATCTTCTCAGGGTCATTCCCCGATAACAACTCCTTAACGAGGACATGAAGCTGAGAAGGAAGCCCTACACAAAGAAGGGAAATTCGTCAAAAGCTTCAACGAGGAAAGGAATGGCATTGCTCAGTTAATTAAATTATACCTCCTTCCCCTCGAGTCACTGGGGGTGATGGAGATGTAACGACTGTAGCAGCATCGACTGGTGGAGTTGGTCGCACAGCCGGCTCAACAGGGTCAGCCTCAGCGAAAGCTCCTGTCAGACACAAAACAGAAACATCATTTTATAGTTGCATTAGTCAAGGAATTAGCTAGTCCTATAGTTAGCTTGAGAAGAGGCACATACCTTCAAAATAACCGTTCCCGGGAGTCTGAGGGAGTGCAGACTCAGGAAACATATCCTGAGGCGGCTGGCCATCGATCTGAGGAGAGTCATACATGAAGCTGAACATAGAAGTGTCCATAGGCAGGCCCTCCCCATCGAAGTCATCAATCGAAAAATCTGACATAAAAAGATATAAGGGAAGAGGAAGGAAACTATGGCCAATAGAGACAAGTTACCTCTTGAAGATGTACCTGGAATCACCGAACTGGGTCCTTCATTGACAGACTCCCCAACATGGGCGGTCTCTGCAGGCTTTTCTGCCTGGTGCGGTGAGTCAGGCTCACCAGGAGATGCACAATCATCAGGACTCATCTCGCCTTCCTCACGATATCCTTTATAGGATGGGAAAGAATGAGCCAGAAGTTCTAAACGATCAAGAAAATGATCTATAGAATAGACGTTACCTCCGTCACTAACAGGATCCTCATCAGCCAAGTCCATCTCAGATGCTCGTGAATTTGCATGCGTCTTGTAGGCTAATCTTTTCCGCCTATCAGCACGGACAGCAATCGGAGGTCTGGCCCGGGTAAAAGGACGGAATTCGTCGTCACTGATGGTCGCTGTCCCTGAAATATCGAATAGTGGTCAGGAATAGCAATTTGGAAATGCAGAGAAAAAGAAAGATAGGTGACTAACCTTGCTCCAAATCTGCCTCGTAGTCTTCAGGGTCTCCGCCTGAGGCCTCTCCAGCAGAACTAAAGGCCCTGTGACCTTCTGCATCAAGTCGGCGGGTCTTGCCCTGAGCCCTCTGTGACCGAGCACCGTCCCAGATCGCGCGAGAATCAATCTGAGAGGCTTCTTCGGCCACCAACTATTCGATGGGTTTCACAGGGACAGTCTTATTAGCTGCTAGCAACCACTTGCAGCTCAAGAAAGTGAGATTAAACTGCCGCTCAGTACCTGGGAGACTGAACCTAGCACCAGTACAGCCAGTCACGGTTCACAACCATGCACGAAGACCGTCAACCAGACCTCCATGAGCCCGAAGCTGCTGGCGTGGGTTCCCAACATAAAGCTGGTCATAACCGAACTGGCGGGCGAATCGGCAAGGTAGATACGGCTCTATAAAACACTGATTCCCCACCCGGAAAGTCAGGTAACCCGGCCTAATGTTCACTAGCCAATTAAAGCAGCCCATATCCAGATAAGTCCTATACTCCCTCGGCTTCTCCTCATCAATCAAACACTCGCCGTACCGACTGGAGAACTGTGGAAAGCAAGTGGAGAATGCCCAGCACTTGTGGACTTGTAGCTGACGCCTGATATCGGGGAATCCTCGGCCCTCCCATTCACCATTCTCAAGCAACTGTAGAAAGGGGACAGACTGATCTATGGCATTCGGTATTGACATCACGTCGGAACGATGAAGAACGAACCAAGCCATCAAATAAATATACGGGAGCTCTACCTTAATGGTAGGAATCTGAGTCGGTTTATCATCATCTCTCCGTGTAAAAGCACCAGAAATCTGCCGAAGCCCTCGATGAATGTTAGCAACCATCACCGGAAGAAGCGAAAGTTCCTTCTTGTAGGCAAGCTGAACTGCAGGATAGAGCACTTCCAGTGGCAGAGCGTCACCAGACTGATACGGGACCACACATTTCTTCAACCAGATGGCGAGATAACCGGCAAGGAGAGTCATCGGACGAATCGGTGCGGTCGCATGATATAAGAACGATCTGAATTTAGTCCCTGCAGGAAAGCCGCTCTCGGAACTGCTAATGGTATAGGATTGGGCGTTAGTCTTATTCAGCAGCTCATTAACCTCTGAAGGAGTCAGCGGTGCCAGTTCACAAATAGATTGGCCAGAATGGCTCTCCAGATTCCTGAACAAGTATGATGCGAACTGCTTCAGGCTCACATTTGCTTTGGTCCTCTTCGCTAGGGGCTTAGACTGCGCCAAAGCAATGTGATAATGACAAGTGAGGTCCCATAAGGTCTCGTAGCGGTCGGGCATGCGATCCTTCAGCTGACTCAACTCATGGTTGGAGGGAAAGTACTCCTGGTATAACATCTGTCCCATGGGCAAACCAGAAATCTTGTGCATCTCATGTAGAGCCAAGCCCAACTCT